TATAATAACACCAGAAAGCCAATTACAGGTTTTCACGGATAGATTTCAAATTATTCAATTCAAAAAACACTCACAGTCCAAACAAATTACATTTAGGGAAAGAAAATAATAATTAAAAAAAACAAAACAACAAGAGCATATACCAACTAAATATAAACTTAAAAAGTGAACACACACCAACCATACTACCGACAATAACAAATTAATAATAAATTGACTTAATTTATTCATCAATTAAAAAACTGAAGAGTGAGCATCCTTCGCACCGCAGAAGTCCGCGTTACAAACGGATCTATTGGATACTCCTTACACAAGTTGTTTAAGTCTCTGCTTGCACGCATAATAAAGGAATTCTGCCTATACCTCGTTGAGGAATTTCGAATTAAAAGTGGGGGATTGTAGCGAATAGATCTGCATGGGACATTGAAAGAGAGTTTGAACAAGAGATCGGGACAGTCAATTTCATTTGAGATGATTTTTAGTAGTGTGGTACAATCCGCTATTCGACGGCGATTAGTAAGGGGTAGAATATGAAACTGCCTACACAATTCTAGATATTTGTCTGAGCTATATGGAACATGAAGTTTGAAGCAAAGAAATTTAATAAAGCGCTGTTGAATTGCCTCCAAGCGCTGGATGTGTGTACTGTAACAAGGATTCCATATTTGCGATCCATATTCCAAGTGGCTTCTTACATAAGTGCAGTACAAAATCTTGAGCGTTTTTGCCTGTTTGAAATCTTTAGAGACCCTCATAATAAATCCAAGAGCTCTATATGCCTTACCAACTATCTCTTGAATATGGTCATCAAACAGAAGTTTACGGTCGTGGTAAACGCCCAAGTCCCTCACTACATCAACTCTGGGTAACACTTGCATTCTCAACCTATAAGTTGTTGGCAATGTACTACGTTTGCGACTATAAGTAATAACTGAACACTTTGTAGGATTCAGGTCCAGTTTGTTACGCTGACAATATTCATCTAGTCGATCCAAATCCGACTGAAGAGCCACCATGTCATTGAAGCATGAGACAGCTGAATAAATCTTCATGTCGTCAGCGAAACAGAGTAGATGAGAAGAATGGAAACAAGAATCGATGTCGTGCACGTATAATATGAAGAGTAAGGGGCCCAACAAGGAGCCTTGTGGGACCCCGCTAGGAACGGGTACCCAACTAGATATATAATTATTGATAACAACGGCCTGAGTCCTGTATGCAAGATATGATGCGAACCAACGAAGCAAATCCCCGTGGATACCTGCAAGCAACAATTTAGATAGGAGAATTCTATGATCTATTCGATCGAAACATTTCGAATAATCTGTATAAACTACATCAACCTGAGCTCCACCATCCATGCTTTGCGACACGAAATCGTTCAGTACAGCCAAATTCGTAACAGTCGAACGACCCCTCAAAAAACCGTGTTGGAAGGGACTGAAACTATTCCTAAGAGCCGCGTAGACCTGATCATATATCACCCTCTCAAATACCTTGCCTAAGATACATAGCTTTGAGATAGGTCTATAGTTGGTGACTTCAGTTTTTGGGCCTTTTTTATGCACGGGTGTAATATAGGCAGACTTCCAGACTTGAGGTACAGTACTTGTAGATAGAGATTTGGTAAACAATAGGGAAACTGGAAGAGCTATAGATTTAGCACACTTAATAAGAAATTTGGGCGACATCTTGTCAGGCCCAGCGCCCTTGTGAGGGTCGAGGTTAGACAACAATCTCATAATTGAATCGACATTAATTTCAATAGAATGAATGTCAGATGCAGTCGAGACGTCATGGTCACGAATTTGAGACACATGGGAGTCAATGTCCGGCTCTAGAAAGGTAGAACGAAAGTGGGTGGAGAATGCTTCGCAGATAGTCATTGTGGAGGACAACGTGACGTCACCGTAAGTTAAATAGCCAGGTATAGTGCCAGACCTGGAGCGATGCTTGACAAAGCTCCAAAATCGCTTCGGATTTACTCTAATACCGGCTTCTGTACTAGCTATGTAAGCAGTGTAACATTCACCTTCAAGTCTGGTGATCCTCTCGCGCAGATGTTTAAAGGTCACCTCATCCGCCAACCTGCCATATATCTTTAATTTGCGATGATATTTGTATTTATCCTTTAAGAGTCTCCTAAGTTGGGAAGAATACCAGATAGGGTAGGTATTGTTGTAAACTCGCCTTTTGGGAATAAATTTATCTTGTAACTCAGATAAGGTATTATAAAAAAAGTTAAGTGAGTCACCAAGAGACCTACTTCCAAATTCACTCACCCAGTCAATGGCCGCAATCTCTTCGTTAATAGATTCAAAGTTTCCTCTGTCAAATAAGTATTTAGTATACGGTGACGATGCTAGACAAGTGTGACCGGATAAACTAGTGACGATACTTAGGGCCGGGTGGTAGTCGTCTGTCGGCACCAGGGGATCCAAGCATTCACCCACATATATGGTCTCATTGCATAAAACCAAATCTAACAGCTTACCGTGTTTATTTAATACTCCATTGTATTGGTTCAATGATAACACCTTCAATTCGTCCGTAAGGAGGTATGCGTCACTTGAACACATGTTGGTAGGTGAATAAAAGTCATACGTCTTATGCCATGCTATACCACTCAAATTAAAATCCCCCACGACAAGAAATTTGTCAGTTGGATTATTTAATACTACTTCATTTAACTTATTTAGGAAATTAATCAACTGAACAGAAAAGGAATGACCCCGGTTCTGATTACACAGGTACAGAACGCATACGTACAATTTGAAATGCCTTTTAGTCCCTGGTTGATTAAAATTAATAGAAATCCACAGGTCCTCGGCTGAGGAATGAAGACCTAACTGCGGGATTGCACCAATACCCCTACGGACGGCCATCAAAACACCACCCCCACGCGTTTGGCCAGTGAGTTGAAAGTCGCGGTCACGACGCCACACTATATAATCTCCACTAAATAATTCACCATCCAAAACACCATCAGTCAACCACGTTTCCGTGAGAATAATAATGTCGAATGAGGAAAGACAAAGTCGACGATAGAATTCCTGAGTTTTAGTTCGAAGACCACGAACGTTCTGGTAGTAAATGCACAAACTATTAACACTATAACAAGCCATTGGTATCAATAACATACACAAACTCATAATAAACAACAAAGTTCCATTCCAAACAGCTGCAGCAGGGACCGGTTATACAAAACAAAGTAAATAATAAGTCAATAATTGAATTATAATACGGAATGTAACAAAAAATTGGTAGTGGGTAATCATTAAAAAAGTGGACAAAGGTGCGACAAGGTAAATAGAACCTACCTAAAACTATGAGTGCAAGCAAGACAAACATGTGTTGGTATGTTCCCGTTAAGTATGGATCAGTGCAATAAACAATGCAAACAGTTCGAGTAATTAGATTAAAGTCAGGTAGCGAAACTTCGCCAGGGATGCTCAACCTTTTATACAATATTAAAATTTTTGTCACGTGACAAGAATAAAAAATAAAAATTAAAAAAATTATACGCTGTGATAAATAAAAAGCAACTAAATGCAGAATAATAATAAAAAAAATCCTATTACAGCAATGGATTAGTTTAATTTGTTTAAATCCCTCTCCCTACCAATAATTATTACTGGGGACCCATCCTGCCTTCTAACATGAATTTTACTATGTTTAACCCAGACATATTTGAAATCCTTCTCCTTGGCCAGTAGTCTAGTTTTGTTTAACAGTTTCTTGGACCCAGAGTTAAGGTGGTCATTGACGAAAATGCGATTCGAGGGCCCATCGAAACCCAGGTCCCGGGTAGATAAATCTCTGCATAACCGAGCAGCAGCGACGAAGTCCTCCTTAACATACCTGTTCAAGAAACCGACAATTATCGATTTCTCCTTGGAGTTGTATGTAGGTACCCGTGATATGTAGTTGATCTGAGTTCGAGGAAGTGCAAATTTCACCCCATCACTAACCTTGTCCAAAATGGAGAAAAGATTTTCGTCCTTCCTGAGAGGAATACCCTTAATTTCTATATTGTTCAGTCTAGACCTATGGTCGGAAGCAGCTTGTTCCGATTTGATGGTGTCGACATCAGACTGCAATGATTGAACCGAATCCTGGAGGCGCTCGAGAGTTACCATCTTCGTCTCAAGTCCAGACAACCTAGTGGAGAAATCCTGCAGCTGCCCGCTGTTGAAATCGTGGCTAACCTTTAGGCTGTTGAGCTCCTCCTTCATAGTTTTGATGCTTTCCAAGAGACACGGAAGATTTGTCAATTGAGCTTTAATGTCCCTAATTTCGTGAAGGACAGTTTCAATGGAGACAGGTTCCGGTGTGAGTGATGGGGATGGAGATGGGGACGATACGACGGATAATAGTAAAAGTATTTAAATAAAATAAAAAAAATAACTAAATTATTAAAACATCACAAATAATATTTTAATAATATCTAGCAAGCATTTTAATTACGAACATCATTTAGCAAGTGTTGCCATTATATAAAAATATACTCTGCATTTAACAAAACTTAAAGGAATTGAAGTATTTATGTTTAAAAATATTATACTCTGCATCTATAACCTAACACTTGACATAGGCTAGTTGGTAGGTAGCCTAGTAGGTGGGTAGCTCTACGCAAGCGTCGAGCGTTCAGTGGCGGGTAAGCAGGGAAGAGCTATAGTGAATTGGCGAGTTGCTACTAGAGTTGTTTGCCGCGTTACATTATATTTTAATTATCTTTATAAGTATTTATTCTGTATTTTAAGGCGTTTGTATTTTTTTCTTATTTTTTAAAGTAACAGTATTTTATGTAACCAAAAGTATGATAAAATGTCTTAAGTTGATTACTTGAATTTTTATGGAATATTATTTCCACGAGAAATACACGAGTTGCTATAATGTGTCAAAGGCATCCAACGTTCTGTCAAACTCATTGACATTAAAAATTAAAAAAAAAATTTGAATATCAAAACTGATGATTTTCAAACTATTACCATACGTACCGTTTATTATTCCTTTGCCTCATCGATATACCATCTTCTTCGACGAGGTCATCATCAGGTTGTATGAAACTGGCCACATCAAATTCTACCGGATTTCTGTCATAATCATACTCATGACGGATGAGGCTCTTCCGTTCCTTTGGTCTTTTTGCCCTTCTGACACGATCTCTTCTGGCATACCGCCCTAATCTGTTACCTTTGCTTTCTGCGGCATCATCCAAATAGTTATAACAAAAGGATAATTCGATACATATTAACAAACTTAGTATATAAAGGAGTCGTAACATCGTCTCGTGACATGACCGTCGATCATGACAGTGTCAGTTTTTTGTTTTGCTATATGGCCAGAATTATTTTTATACTTTTTCTTTGTATGCTCATCAAACCTCCTTCTTCCAGTTTCGGTATTTTTTGTTGTAAGTTCCGATTTCTTCTGTACTATGAATGTATTCACTGTATTCCCGTGTTAAGTGATGTCCTACGATGTCGTAGGTAGCTTTACTAATCTTAAATTAAAATATAATGCCACAATCATCAAAAATTTTGTGTTTTGTGTATTAGAATAAAACTCCTTACGTTTAATAAACACTGCTGGCTGCACAACATTTTTGTTTTTCGTGTAAATGAAACATAATAACTCAAGTTCTTAGCGACATCTAGCGAGAATTTTGTTGTGGGTTTATGAAGCACAGTGTGAACGACAAACGAAAACCCTTCAGAGGGCCAAGCACGAATAACTATCGCATTCGTATCGTAACAGTATTGAGAGAGTCAAGCGTTCTGATTGGTTGGTTCACTTGAGCCGACCAATCAGAGCGCCGAACGCGCTCGATACTATTACGTTACGAATGCGATAGTCATTCGTGCTTGGCACTCAGAAAATCAGAGTATATTAAGCTACTTGTTTTCATGAAATCGAATAAAAAATATACTTACATATGTTTACATATGAACATCCCATCAAAGTACGGCAGTGTTAAGATTCCTTAATCGATTTCTTACTTTATCACAAAGGTGGTAAAGTTTAAAATGTATTAAAGAAACTACAGATTGGAGTACCTTGATCTGCTACTTCTTATACATATTTTTCAAGGGACGAGAGATCTGTTCTTCCGGGGAGTTAGTCCTATAATTTATGGCAGCCGTTAGTCTACGCCAGGCAAAGGGTTTTAAGTCGAAACTTTCCGCCATTGCCCTTATGTTTGCCTGTTATGATGACCTTGTGTACTTTTTTTTTTGGTTACAATATAGCACATTATAATACCTTATGTTTTTTTGTAATGATACCTTGCTATAGATAGTTAATTATTTAGTACTATCACGTAGCGCCACGAGGTATTTGAATCAAAACCAAACACTATCTAACATCACACTAAGCAAAAGAAAAACTACGTTCTAGGTTCAAATAAATTTGGGCTACTTTAATAAGGAAACTTAAGAGTTTCAACACGTTTCCAAGCGATATGACGAAGTATATTTAACTTGACAGTTCCCTACATCTGCCGACACTGCTTACAGTATCCAGCAGCAATCAAGTAAGCGAATTAAGCGGTTATGTCCAATAATAACGACTCATAGTGAACACGTCACTAGGATACGCCCCGTCGCTAATGAGATTCCGACCTTTGTTAGAGATCACGGGACGGAGACGATGCGATATCGTTAGGTCTATATAGTCTACTAGCAGCCCGTCCCGGCTTTGCACGGGGTAGACATTTTTTTTATCAAAATGAAATGTATCCTATGTCAAATTGGAAGAATGTAGCATTCTATTGGTGAAAGAATTTTTTAAATCGGCTAACTACTTTTGAGCCTATTCATTACAAACATATAAACATACAAAAATAGGAACAAATCTTTCCTCTTTATAATATTAGTATAGAATTGTTGCAATGAATTTTGAGTTTAGTCTAGTTTATTAGGTACCCATTAAAATCTATGAATACTAAGTCGAATCAGGTGAAGTGTTATTAAGTTCTGATTTTCTTTAATTCATGGTAATTTTTTGATAAAGAATAACATTCTATTGCATTGAAATTGACGAAAAATGAGACTATCCCTTTCGGAATGTACGGGAAGAATTATCATTTTGTTTATTGACAATAACCAGATTCAGTTTCATAGCAATCCGATCAGCACACACTATAAAAAACAGGCGGTGCAAGTGTGGGAGTGCCATGCTTCGGCACGAATGGATCGGCTCGACCGGAGTTATATAAGTATACCACGGCTGACCAGAAAAGTGACGTGAAACAACGTTTGCGTTGTCATCCGTGTCGTGTGGATGAACCTCATCCTCCTTCCCCCAATACTTGAATCCAAATAACCCTTAGATTCCTAATCCCCAAAAGGCTGGCAACGTACTTGTAATGCCTCTGGTGTTCCAGGTGTCCATGGGCGATGCCGATTGCTTACCATCATCTGCTCGTTTACCGGCTTATTCCGTAAAGTAAACTAAAAACATCAGTATCATAATTATTACTCTTGAAATTGTAACCAAGTATCGTAACCTCTAAATAGAATCTCAGTTATTAGGCGAGAGTAGACCAATTAGAAGAGGCAACTGTTCTGAGACATAAGCTTTTGTATTATGAAAGTGTAATGTACGGATATATGATCGTTGGGACCCCAGTGCTTCAATAGGGGACTTCCTAATGAACTGCTTTACTGGTTACTACTTGGCTATGGGTTCTAATTACTTTTATGAAGGGTAGTGTTTAAAAGGAGCATCTGTTTCGAATGATTCGCTTGATCGAAGAGCTGGCTACTACCTTGGGCAAAGGTAAAGCATTGCCATTCAACGTGGCAATGCTGCCAGTCTTTCGGGCACCCTATCTCACGATAGCGATGAGGATTTTTTTTTTCTGATGCCTTATGCTTAAGATAACTTTTTTATTATTATAATTTGTTAAGGCGATAATATTTTAGGATATAGAGATAAGTATCCTCTATGTACTCCGAAATAAACTATTTAGTTTTTATTCGCTTTTACATTCCAAATGTGTCATGTTCGTGAACGGGCGCCGTCAACTGGGATTGGTCAGCTCCTGACTGTATATTTTTTTTTAATGTCCTTTAAGGTTATTTTTTTTCGATCTCTTTGACTGTATTTTAGTGTTACATTGTTGTCGCACAATCCAAACAACAAAACTATGTAACTAGTAAATTGTATTGTGAACTTGATTGAAAGTCGTTCAAAAGTGCCTCTCTGGTCTAATTGAAATAAATGATTTTGACTTTGTCTTTGGATGGAGATAGTAACTATACTATTAAATGAGGAGTAATACTAATTTCTCCTCATTTTATACCAAAAGAAAATATACCGATACCTGATAGAAATCAGAAATGTTAGCCTATACAGGTATAGACGTAGGAGCCACGAAGTACCGATCATCGTGACAAAAAAATATTTTTCTCCTTTCTTATTCTTCATGCGCACAATAAGCTGTAACTACTGTTACAACCCTACGACAACATTACAGCCAAATTGTTAAACTGCGAGTCTACTACAACTAAAAACAACAACATAAAACTAAATTTGAATCGTCAGATATCATGAATCAAGACAAGATTTTATATTAATTTAAATTTTGATTATTTTGATTTGATTGTGATTATTTGATTGACTTTGCTCTTATTATCTAATTATCTTATTTTGATTGTAACAATTTCATTTTGACTTTTATTGATTAATATAAATTCGTTACATTTTAATTACAAGGTATCTATTTGATGATAAAATGTCAACTTTATTTAAAAAAATGTTAACTTCATTTTATCAAATGTTGCTTTAAGCGTAGATATTGTAACACCTTATTCACTTTATGGTATGCAAATAAATGAATATGAATATAAAGATAATTATTTCTGCGTGGCAACTTAAGTTCATTCTCCATATCATGAAAAACCTACAACCAATTTTATTACTAAAACAGAACTCACTCTATCCACAATTCTATTAAGAAATTAGAAACAACTGCTTCGTTGGCCGAGTGGTCGCAAGTACAACAGCCGAGCATAGGGTCTTAGGTTCGATTCTCGGGTCGACCAAAGTATTACTGGGTTTTTAAAAATCTCAGTAGTAGCACGGTGTCTGGAATTGTGCTCGATATAACTATGGCAATAGGCACATGAAAAAAAGCCCTATTACATGGGACTTATAACATAAATAGTGAAAAGTGGGTGTTACATTGTACAGTGGCATTAAGTGCCGTAACGTGCACCTCTGGCCCTTCGGGGATAAAAGGCGTGATGTTATATTATGTTCTAATAAGAATGGCTGCTGTTCAGTAACTCTTCTACACAAAATCTGTGAGCTCATTAGCGTTTCTGTAATATGGTAATTTAAGCAATCGCGAGGCGGTCCCATGGTACAAGGGCCCATATCATTTGAATTCATTATGTTCTCTTTAATTAAATTAAATTAATTATAACGTCTATGTCTATGTAGGTTGTAGGCAGGTGTATCGGTGTAGGTCGTGATTGCTATAAAAATAGGTCATTGTAAAAGAATTCTACTTAGATGAAATTAGCTAAACAACATTTACAGTTTTATAAAATATGCAAATCAATAGTATTTCAGTTAAAAAGAAACATATACAGTCTTGTAGGCCGTGTCGTGGTGACCCGGAGGTTTAAGGCGGCAACTTCTGCATGAGAGCTTTTTTTAAGGAGGGAAAATCATCGAATGACTGCTCCCGCCTAGGGTGAGGCGGGAGGGAGTGTCAGACTCATACTGACTAAAAACCCCCCCGTTCCTTCTCCTGCACGTCCAGCTGGAGCCCTGGTTACCCGTAAGGTTCTCCGCGACTCCGAATCGGCATCGGCCCTATTGGGCCTCATCTGTGGTGGTCTGAGGGCTCTTTGAGGCGCGCGCGGAAGGCGACGCGCCGTACGCTCAGGTCTGTTTTTTTTCTTTTGTTTTCGGTTGCATGAGAGCTTGCCATGTCGGTTTTACCAATATGACATTTTCCAAGCTTTATATACTTTATTAAACATCTGACAAACGGTGATGACATCGTAAACAGAGTCATCAACAAGATGGTTTTGTCAACAAAGTTTGAAGTAAAAGGCTCCATAATATGCGGATAATTGCTCCTAAAAATAGCTATACAAAAACCAACAAACCCTGGAGCAACAAAATTACGAACGTATTGGTAAAATAGAGAAAGCGAACTGTATAAAAACTTAAAAAGGAGCATCTCCCATTGCTACTCTTTGACTGTTCGAGCGAATATTAAACACAGACTTAGTTTGAAAAGGGTGACTCAATAAATACCGCTTGTGACAGTCAGCCCCC